TTCCCTTCCCCCCAACCCCTGGGACCCCCAAGAACCCCCTTTCAATGGGACCTCCAGCTCCTGCAACCTTCAAGAACCCACCTCCCTGGGACCTTCAACCCCAAGAACCCCCTTTCTTGGGACCTCCACCCTCTGGGACCCCCATCCCACCTTCTGGGGGGGTCCCCAACTGTGTGTCCCCCCCACCCCAGCCCAAGCCCACCAAGGGACGGATGCGGATCCACTGCCTGGAGAACGTGGAGAAGGCCCTGACCTTCCTGAAGGAGCAGAGGGTCCACCTGGAGAACGTGGGCTCCCACGACATCGTGGATGGCAACCACCGCCTCACCCTGGGCCTCGTCTGGACCATCATCCTCCGCTTCCAGGTGACCCCCACGCCCCAAGTTGGGGGGGGGAGACCCCAAAATGAAAGTGTGGGGGGGTTGTCCTGGGGTCTGATGTGGGGCTTCTGGACCCATCATGAAGGTTCTGGATCTTCTCTGGAGGTTCTTGGGTCTTCCATGGGGTTCTTGAACCCATCATGGTGGTCCTGGACCCATCATGGAGGTTTCTGGATCTTCTAGGGGGGGTCTTGAACCCACTTTGGGGTTCCAGAACCCACCTTGTGGGTCTCAGAGTCTGATGTGGGGCTTCTGGACCCATCATGGGGGTCCTGGATCTTCTCTGGAGGTTCTTGGGTCTTCCAAAGGGTTCTTGAACCCATCGTGGTGGTCCTGGACCTTCCATGGGGTTCCTGGATCTTCTGTAGAGGTTCCTGGATCTTCTAGGGGGGGTCTTGAACCAACTTTGGGGTCCCAGAACCCATCTTGTGGGTCCCAGAGTCTGATGTGGGGGTTTTGGACATTCTCTGGATCTTCTCTGGAGGTTCCTGGGTCTTCAGAGGGTTCCTGGACCCATCGTGGTGGTCCTGGACCCATCATGGGGTTCCTGGATCTTCTGGGGGGGTTCCTGGATCTTCTAGGGGGGGTCTTGACCCCACCTTGGGGGTCCTGGAGTCTGATGTGGGGCTCCACGTGGGGCTTCTGGGAGTCCTAGATCTTCTATGGGGTTCCTGGACCCATCATGGTGGTCCTGGACCTTCCATGGGGTTCCTGGATCTTCTGTGGGGGTTCCTGGATCTTCTAGGGGGGGTCTTGAACCAACTTTGGGGTCCCAGAACCCATCTTGTGGGTCCCAGAGTCTGATGTGGGGGTTCTGGACCCATCATGAAGGTTCTGGATCTTCTCTGGAGGTTCTTGGGTCTTTCAAAGGGTTCTTGAACCCATCATGGTGGTCCTGGACCCATCATGGGGGTTCCTGGATCTTCTGGGGGGGTCTTGACCCCACCTTGGGGGTCCTGGAGTCTGATGGGGGGCTCCACGTCTCTGCCCCACACCTCTGCCCCCCCCCAGATCCAGGACATCAGCGTGGAGAGCGAGGACAACAAGGAGAAGAAGTCGGCCAAGGACGCGCTGCTCCTCTGGTGCCAGATGAAGACGGCGGGGTACGTGTGGGGCAGGATGTGGGGTGGGATGTGGGGCAGGGTGTCACTTGGGGGTCCCAGGTTGAGCCCCCCACCCTGGCCCCACGGCAGGTACCCCGACGTCAACGTCCACAACTTCACCACCAGCTGGAGGGACGGGTTGGCCTTCAACGCCATCATCCACAAGCACAGGTGTGGGGCAGGGCGGGGGGCGGGGTGTGGG